GTAGTCTTAGGATGTTATTATTATTTTTTTATTTATTGGTTTTAGTCGTAATGCAACTGATCTGACTGCGGGTGACACATTATTCTTAGCACTCTTAGCTGAGGCTATACAAACAGCTGATCCAGAACCCAAGGATAAATCAGATCTTGATGTAATTATTGTAGAAAAAGACAATTCACTACAGTTGGAGAATGGTAAGAAATGTCACTCAAGTCCCATAGAAAATATTTGGGCATTCTTAGATTAAAATATGTATTATATACTATGGATGGAGCCATAGGATATTATCTTGTTTGTGTAATAGTTTCATAGTTCATATGAGCGACGAGTCCCTTATGGTTTTTCTAGTTATGTTGATAGTGTATGCATCATTGAAAAATGATGTAGTCAGCACAGATTAATATAAAAACTTTATAATTAAATTATTATTTATCAAAAAAATAATTTAATTAAATTAATTCTGTGGTCATGGTATGATGTAATAAATAATAATCAATACTAGATGCACTAACTGACTACAATAATTGTTAAATGCATTTTGGTTTTATATATTTTGGCTTTTATAGCAGACAAGTTCATTATTGAACAGTAATAGCTTAATTCATTCATAGCTCAGATAGGTCAAAATAATTTTTTTTTATTCCATCTTAATTTATTTGTGTTACAAATTCAGCTTATGAATACATTTTATGTACATCCAATGAAACATTTATTAACTTAACTCTAATTTAATAATATAGCATTCGTTTCTGTACTAGATTAGACTTAATTAACCATGTACTATATTATGTTATAAATAATAATTTTTTAAAAAATTATATAATACCATCAGAAAATCTGAAATATTAAAAACTTAGAACATAATATTAGTATTAGTCCAAATTAATGGGTCTATGATTTCAGGCTTATCTTATTTTATTAATTTTAATAATAACTAAATATATGAGATTTCTCTTTACGCATGCACCGTTTATTTGTCTAACTCATAGACTTGTTGCTAATACTATGGGCTACATAGTATATGATCTAAGAAGTCAATAAATTACATAGTTACAAATCATAAGTAAGATGTACTTAATGTATTTTTTATTCAGATGTACCAATGCCACGAAACAAAATTAACAGCTTACTGATTCTTTTGGGTCAACATGGGTTAAAATTAAATGCTGTACATTTGTCATATATTACTGATGGTGTTCCATTATTTATCATTCATGAGGTAATACTGAATTCACACAAATATAGATTCAATTAAAAATAATTCTTTTTTTATTAATGAATAATATTACTATCATCTTTTTATTTTAGATAGGAAATGATGTTTTTAATAGTAGTGTAATCGATTCATTAACATCATTTTGCACAATCCAAGAAATCCAAATTCGAGGAACTGTGGACCGCGAAGCACTTAAAATTGCTTATGATACAGTTGATAGTTCCATGAAAAAAATTATTGATTTGTTTAAAAAGAAAAATGCTCCATTTGCACCAACTCGAAGTGTACTTGCCATAATTACTACTCTTGCTACCAGATGGGAGCCACTGAAGAAGTATTGACATTATCATAATTTTTTTTTTGTAAATAACCATTTTATAACATACATTTTAATTTAATTTTTTAGAAAGTACCTAGATTACTTTAAAAATAATGACAGTTCATCATTAATTGCCATAGAATCTAGCAACATGAATATTATATGTAGTTTAAAAGATCTTCATCATCATTGCATGCTCAACGAATCATTGATTGACAATTATACAAAAGAGGCAGTGAGCGAAGCTTCTGCAATGGTTGCTGTAATGTTACGTGATTATACATCATTTTTTGAAGTGAAAGCGATGAACAATTTTACAATGAGATCATATCCTTTTAAATTAAGAAATAAATTACCAATCCATTTAAGTGAATAATAATTAGAATAAATAATAAGAATGATAGAAAAGAAAAATATTTTGTCTAGAAAATAATGCACACTGTATTATATTCTTACCATTTATATTATTTAATTATCTTTTAATTTTATTCTGAATACATATTATTTTGTATAGGTATTTTTCTTTTAAATGAGATAAAATATATTTTCTTTAATTCTATTTCTTTTACAAGATCAACATTGAATATAAATAAATATTTAGAAGAATTCCCAGGTCTAGTACATTTTATTTATGTAGATCGAATGTCTCATCGGATGATCGCTCCAGGTTTGGAGTTTGCGTCACAAGAAACACTTGAACTTACCAAAAAAAAGGTGAAATAAGTTATTTCATAAATTAACTAGATATGTGCATTATGATAAGTAAGTTCAGTTATTGGAAAAGAAAATGTTATTTTGTTTTACTTAGGTATGGTCCATGATCGATTTTAGTAGACAGCATTTGAGAGATGGTCATTTTATTGTACTTTGGAAAGATAACACTTTTACATATTCCTATTTCTTGTGGTTTGAGGATCAATCGGTAAGTGTATTGGTACTTTTTTATTTTTGTATACAACGTTTCTCAGGCTGTTGCATTTTCTCAATGAAAAATTAACTTACCCTAGGCCATAATTTCTGATTTTTTTGTGTGATGCAAAACCAATATTTAACATTTAAAGCAATACTAAAGCCATTCATATTTTAAGATTGTTAAATTACAACATTTTATAACTATTTACTATAATTTCTATATAATAATGTATATTGAGTATATTAAAGAAATTCATGGGATATATAATATGGACACCCTTTCAACGCTCAAATGACACCCCTTGAACTAACCTGGTTAATTCAAATTTTCTTTTTAGTGAATAATTTTAAAATATACATCTTAATTCTAATAAAATATTACCATCACTAGCTTATAAGACACTGAATAAATATAGTTTGCTGAATTCAAAATGTTAAGTCTTCTAAACTTCTAATAACAATAGTGAAGTGCAACAATTCAAGTCATATAATATTAAGATCATAAAATAATGCATTTAATGGCAGCAAAATCCAGTCCCTACTTCACTATAAATTTTGATTTTAGGGTACATCTTTAAAGCCAAGAGTTCAACCTACAGCTTCAGAGTTATTCCCAGGCATATTAAATGGTGATTACTATGAGTAAGTTGAAATTGGTAAAACGGTTTTTTACGTTAAAAGTTTTACCATGCGAATTAATGTTTTTAGGAAGCTTTTGGAACAATGTTTCCCAAGAATGTCAAAAGGAAAAGTACGATGTTTCGAACTATTCTGTGTGCATTTGGGACTGGCAACTGCTTCCTGTGTGTTGGAACATTCCCGGAGATTATCAGCAACTGTATGGGAAGTAACTGGGAGACCTAGCAATCTTCTAGATTTGTTTTAAACTGCTATCGTCGATTTAAATGTTTCATTCCATTTTTTTTTTATATATAATTAACATTTTGTTTTTATTGATCTCATAGTATGAAGTCACTTAAACCATTTTTTTTTTAAATATCTATTATTTGTTTATTTTTTGGTTATTATTTGTATTATTTTATGTTATGATTTAATTTAAATGTTTTATTATAGTTTATAGATTTACTCAATAACAATATATTGTATTGTTGCTACTTAATAATGGTGAACTTTATACTTAAATTAAAATCATTTTTATGTGCCAATATATGAATTAATAATAAGTGTATATTATCAAAAAAAAAATATTACTACCTATGTAGTCTTGGTGAATGTTTTTTATACGGGTCCTCAATGTATGTCATATTTTTAATCAAATATATAATATTAATTTTACACTTGCTGTCATTGTTTTTAATTGAATTAATAGCATGTAGGTATATGCTTGATATAATTATTACAATACGGAACGGGAAGTATGTAAAACATAGATGATGCTATACTTAAGTGTTAATGATATTAATTTACCTATTACGGGTCTTTGAACACCTGTGGTTATGAAAAGTTATAAAGCTGAGTCCTTGCGATTAAAATAAAAACCATTTTGCCACTGTATATAGTTTAATTATAAATGTATGTATAAACTGCTGCATGGAAATTGCGTGTTCATATTTAATGTTATTCAGTGTTAAAGTTAATTGTTTAAAAGTATGATAAAAGTTACCTTGTAAATAATACTTGGACTTTCCCTTTTTAGATAGTTTAAATTAAAAAATTGGCTTTAGATATACAAGGCTTTGGTGGCAGAAAGAAAATTTGAAAACTATGTTATTTGGGTTTTTACACTTATAGTGTTTCCGTAAGTGTTTAAACAAACCGAAATAGAAAGAGTGCGTGCAATTGACTTCCTTCTAAAACATAGGAAGGCAGAAAAACATATGATTTTGGTAACCCTTCCCCAAAAATGTAAATAAAACTATATGAATAACAAAAACAATTAATTAGATTAATATTCAAGAAATAAAAAGTAGCTCCAAAATTCTTATCGGGCAAAGCCATATTTTCAGGTCATTTTTTAATATGACCTCTACTAATTATTACTAATATTGACATAGTTTAAATTTTTGTTTACCAAATGTTTTAGACCAATCTATTTATACAGAGAATGATCATCACATAAGCATTTTTATATTATTTTTATTAGAACATGTTCTTGCCACCTATTTTTTAGAACTCCTTATCTAAGAGTAATTAATTTCATTTGATTCTAGCTTTGAACAATCTGATAATTTAACAGTATTTAATGTTTCAAACAAATAACATAATCCAAATATAGCATGTTTTTATGCACTTTTATTCAATATAAAATAAAACTTATTCTTAACTTCATAAGAGAGTTTTTACATAAAATGTTTTAGCAAATAACAATTATTAAAATAATTACATTAGTACCCAGTATTTTGTTCAATTAAAATTAATTTTCCATAGACATTAACATAAATGCTCCTAGGTTATTTTTATAGTAATTGAGTTTCTTAATTTATTTTTTAAATACTTAAAATTAGAAAACAATGTATTATTTCTTATCATGCTATAAATAATTCTAGATTGAATCAGTGTCACTTTGCTAGTGTAAAAGATAAAATAAAATAGTTCTACTGCAAAGGAGTATTATAATATTATTATCATATGTACATAAAAAGTAATAACTACTGTTATAAGATCTACATCAAATGGAAGCAAAGTCAAGACACAGCCGTTTAGGCGTGAATACAAAATTATAATTATTCTAGATTATAAGCATACATTTTATTCAAATATTTACATAAATTAAAAACATAGCTAAAAAATATAATAATTAACAATTTAACAGTTACATTACACACATGCATAAATAAGACACATAGCTACAGAATATTATAATAATTAAAAATGTAATAGTTATTGTACAGAAATATTTTGGGCTATGCCTCTCAAAAATCCACATTGTTCAAAATTTGTAACTACTTTTAAAGTCTTTTCATCAAAATCAATATATTTTTTAATTTTTGAGGGGGACTATTTCTTGCTTCTAATTGACTTTATTAAAGTCTACCTGCTTGTACTTTTTTAAGACAAGTTATAGAAGACCACAAACTTGGATGATTAACACCCATCTCCATGTTTAGTCTTATATTGGTAGCTTCAGAGAGATTGTTGGTTCTATATATACCATTCAAAACTCTATTATACTTATACATACTCCAAATATTGGATAATAAAGGTTATCTACGGCATTTCTGGTAACGTCGGATAATCCCTAATATCGCGATAAAACTATAATTTTTATTGTTTTATTGTTATTGTAATAGGTGTATGTAAAAGTAAAAGAATTGAATAACTATATTTTGTTCTTGCATCCAAATGTACTTGGGCCTAAATGGCCGCGTCCATTTGTCCCTGTTCGACTGTTATAGCAGTAGTAGAACATTGATTAATTTAGTAATAAATATTTGGGTTTTAAGAAACAATTTCAAGTCAATTATAAATAATAAACTATACATTACCAGCATACTTTAGCCGTGTATACAAATATTTCTAAGTATATATTAAATAATGTCTTTCTTTATCCTATAGCATGTTTCATTACAACTGTTGATGTGTAAGTGATTAATTCTGTTGATGAAGTTTAAATTTTGGTCAATGTTACCTTGTTTCACATCGCCAAACATATTACCTTTTAAGTTGATGTCACTGTGTCTCACATTGTCAAACATACTGGCTTTTGAGTTGATGTCACTGTGTTTCACATTGCCAAACACATTACCTTTCAAGTTGATGTCACTGTGTCTCACATTGTCAAACATACTGGCTTTTGAGTTGGTGTCACTGTGTCTCACATTGTTAAACACACTGGCTTTTGAATCGATTTTAGGATGTCTGTCGTTAGTAAACACACTTGGTTTCAAGACGTTTTGTGTTAAATTTTTGTCAAGAATGTCTACATTACAGTCGAGATGTGGCTTTTTACGTGAATACTCTCCATTCTCAAGAATCTTATTTACTACTGTTTGGATTCTACCTATTACATCACGATGACTGTAGCCTCCTGTCAAGACACTTTCTAGGGTCTCAAAGTACTTGTTTAAGTATACACCGGATGACCCGGTGATAACCCGGAGTAGGTTAACAGTCTGGCTGTTTCGGTACGGTTTCAACTTCTAGAAAATGAAGACAGAAAAAAAACAGTTAATATAAATTGAAAGATAGCAGAAAATAAGACACACTTTCAAACCAAACAGTAATAATTATCGCCTTAAAACGTTATTTATTTGCTGATTGTGAAATGAGAGATACGAGACCAGATAGGTTTCCCGTATATTACAAACCGAAATATAGGTACGTACTTGTTTCAATTCCTTTAGACGTCGGTCGTATTCAATTTTCTTTTTAACATTCTGTCTCCTAGCCATTTATTGATTCTACACTATACTACACTATTAAATATTAATTGTACACCGTCCACACCAAGTACACTGCGATCATACCAGCACACCATAGTCTACAACCTGTTACACAAATACACTCCTAAGTCCTATAATGGCATAGAACAATAATGGATATAATATTAACTTTATAACTATCTATATATCTGAGTATACCTTAGATCACATTTTTGGTTTATACTTGGTATGTTGTCCATGGTTAGACCGTTGTTATGACTCGTTATCAGAATGAACATAAATCACGATAACTTTACTGTTAAGGTATTGCGCTTTTTCGTAAATTCAAATCACTTTATTAGTTTATTTTTGTTGTCTTCAGTCTTGATTACCTCTGGGTCTCTAACTACTAGTACACACTTAACTCCGTCCTCACTTTTCATCTTTTCAAATGAAATAACAAAACCGAGACTAGACAGGTGCGAAAGGAAAAGTCATGTCGATGAAACAATTGCCTTCGGAAACTATTAAACTGATTAGTAGTACTCAGGTCATTACGTCGGCGTCGTCGGTGGTGAAGGAATTAATGGAAAACTCTATTGACGCCAATGCTACAATCATCGATATACGTCTGGTACTATAGATCTAAAATTAACATATTGATGTAATCATTTAAAAAAAAACAAAAATTGTGTGTTGCCATCAACTTATGGTTCAATGTATAGGACAATTATGGGCTGGACAAGATTGAAATACGCGACAACGGGGTTGGCATTCCACACAGTGACGTGCATGTCATGTGTTTGCGTAATTACACTTCCAAAATATCCGAAATATCCGATTTAGGTATGCCATTTTTTTTTTATTTATAGGTACTACCTAATAGAATACATTTTTAAGTTTTTATACTTAACAGATAAATTGACGTTCTACGGTTTTCGGGGCGAAGCTCTTAGTTCCATTTGTGCTGTAGCTGATGTGACTGTTATTACAAAATCAGATTTTGACGAATATGCCAAATCATTTACCATGGACAGCAATGGCCGCGTGAAGAATAGTTCAATTTGTCATCACCAAAAGGGTTAGTAAATTATGTTTTCATTATATGCAAGAGATTCTGATATGCAAATACCTATACTTAATATTGATAAGTAAACACATTTTTTTTAAAAATATTGACGAGTTTCGGTCACTAGGACAATATTTACTTAGTATATTATGTTAGTATTTTCCACAGATGCAGTAGGTATATTAGTATATAGTATCTAATTTGAATTAGGTTAATTTTAGTGGTATATTTTTTTTATAGGTACAGTCATCAAAATAGTAAACCTTTTCAAAAAGTTACCAGTTCGAAAACAGATTTATAGTTCAAAGAAACACTGTGTTAATGATTTACGAAGGGTAGAAAGTATTGTTAAATCATTAGCAGCTATTCAACAAAATATTCGTGTTTCTTTGGTTCATAATAAATCTGTGTTGTGGCAAATGACCTCAGCCATAGATTTGGTGGTGACATTTGGTCAAATATGGTCATCATCTATGACTAAGTATGTAAAGCACTTGACGTTTACAAGTGAAGAGGTTAGTTTTTGGTGTAATTGGAGTCAAATAACTTGATATTACTTTAATTCATTCTCATTTAATTTCATTAGGTACATATTGATACAGTTGTACCTGTACAAAATATAAACGTGCAAAATTGTTTTTTTACTACAAATGTTGCTGATGCAATTTATTTATATGTTAACAAAAGACCGGTCAGGGATAATAAAATTGAAAAAGTAAGAACAAATATCAATGAGTAAGTTGATTTTTAATTATTTTAATTGGTGACTAAATAATTTGTTTGTTTTAAATAAATGATTTAGCTTATTGTTGGGGAATTCAATAACTATTTTGGACATTATTTACCTCCAGGCAAGTACTTGCCATGTCTTATATCTATAACCATTCCACCTGAAACTATTGACATAAATTTGGAACCAGATAAATCCCGAATATTATTTCACAACCAGGTTTAGTATTTTTGAAAATAATATCAAATATCAACTGTAATGACATTAATTTCACCAACATACACAGAACTTGTAACTGTGTTAGTGTCCTTGTTGTTGTCGTAATGACATTACTAATGTTTATACATGTTTATAAATTTATTACTAATTCAAATTAATTTAAAACTTATTTTCAGGATATGATATTACTCAATCTTAAGAACTGCATTACTAAGTATTATTATAATGAGAACATAGAGAACGACCAGTCTAATATTAATAAAGTCCTTGCACATACAAATAATAAAAGAAAAATACCTTATGATTCAGAAGAAGTCCAAGTAAAAAAATCTCCAGTCTTAATGTCACAGATTAATGATTCTTTTGCCCCAAATGCAGAGTCGACTAAAATTATTAGCAATGATTCATTTAACTCTGTATTAAACAATGACGAGCATACACAAATTGTTAAGGACTTAAGCTTAGAAGATATTGATTTTGAAGAGCCATTCATATCAAAGATAGATAAAAGTAACAAAATGTTATGTTTAGAAAATAACAATCTGGAAAGTACTGATGATATTTCAGAATATCGCAAAAAGTTATCTAATATTGGAAACACTTCTCCTCTTCAAACTATTCAATCGGATGACGCAAATGTTAGAAATTTTAATGCCGAAGACATTTCAATTTCTCAATGGAGTAAGGGTGATGTAGTTCTGAATGGAAAACCATTGGAGGTATTTATATTTATCTATTTTATTGTCTTAGAAGTATATTGATAACAGTTTTTTTTAGAGTGGAGTGGTGTTAAAATCTGATTTCTTGCTTGAAACTTTAGACAAAAACAGCATGCCAAAAATGAATACAGAAACTGGTATTAAACATTAATATTTTTATTTATTTGTATTTAATACATTCATTTACATGGAGTAACTGTGTTTATAATATTTGTTACTTACTTAATAAAATACAAATGTTTTTCAGTCATTCAAAAATATGATGAAAATATTATTATGAACAATTATAATCCAGTACATACAAATGATGAACCCTCAGAAAATATTTCAATAAATTCATCAAATAATAGTATGAAGCAATTAAAACTTGAACAACTTTTCCGTACAGTTTCTGTTCCTGATGAGCAAGTTCCTGGTCTTAACCATTTAGTAAATCGTCCACAGTCATGGGTGCCTCAACCTAGATCAAAGAGACCAACAAGAGGTATTTTATTTATATCAAATATGAGTTTTGAATGAGTAGGTTAGAGCTTTGAATATAAATTAACTTATCAATGTTTATTATTTAAAAAATTGGGAATAGGTTTTTAATTTATAATGTAATATTACATATTATGCCTTGACTAGTTATTATACTTTTTAAATTATTGTAATCAATTTGCGCATGGAACAGAAGTATTAAAAGTTTGAACACTTGAAAAACCATAGAAAGTTCATGAATTTAATTCTTAAATAAATACATTTCATTTCATTTAATTAAAAAAATATGCACATTTGACTATTGTTGACTGTTATTAGTGTTATTACATTTTAGATATTCCTGATGAAGATCTTAGTGACACCATTCGTAGTGTCAGCAGTCAAATGGGAAACAAAGAGATGTCTGGATTTACACTGTTTGCCAGGGAAATGCGAATTAAAAGTAGTAACATTTACAGTAGCCTAAATTAAATATTTGAATACAAAACTATAAATTAAATTTATTTTATTTTATTCAATATAGTTATTCAAGAAAATCCAGGGATAGAATTCACAAAAGTTAGCAAAGAACTTGCCAGATTATGGGGCAGTTTGAGTGAAGATGAAAAATTAAGGTATAAAAAATTGTCAAATGAACAGAAAAAAGTGATAATACCCAGTAAAACAAATGATGTACCATTACCGAAAAAAATATTTCAATCTATCTCTAAGAATCTTCAAAGGCATTCTACCCAAATTAACATAGAATTATCTGAAATCAAAAGAAATATTTTGAAGAAGCCAAAAATGATGTAAGTGCCAAATTTAAATTCGTTTAAATAATCGATTTGATGAAAATTAAATATTAAACTTAAAATAAACTGTTTGAATGAATCAAAAATATATACTGCCTGCTATAAGATTATCAAGCTTAAATAATAACATAAACATTTATTTTTCAAATAGTTCACCAGAATTTATGCTTATTGGTCAAATCGAGGACACCAATTGGCTTTGTTGTGTGCGTAATGAAATACAAGCTCTAAATATTTGTCGTCTTCAAGAAGCTGTAATTTTTTTCCAGAAATTGGCTGATAGTGAGGTACCACTTAAAATGTTGGACCATTCAATTACAACGAACAAAAAGTAATTATAACTTTTCTGCGTTTTTTTTTAAAATTTACAACGCAAGAAGATTAATTATTATGAATAAAAAAAATATATTAAGGGGACTGCAGTCAGTCGTGTGTTAAGGAAATTAATATAGACAATATAACATGATGACATTAAAGTGACTTGTAGGTGTGTGCAATGTAAACAAAAATAAGTGTGTGTGAGTCTAATCTGTAATTGTTTTCAGACAATATTTCCTAGAAACCATCCATCATCGCCACTAAACATCGTAAACAATGAACAAATTATGCTGGTCATAATTATTGTTGTAAATAGTAGATTATTTTACCATTTTGCTATTTTTTATAATAGTATACCCGTAAAATAATTACTTATACTTTACATTTTTATATAATTACCCAATCATTCCTTAACTTACAATTGTTCAGAACACAACTAGTAGCATTCACTGTTTACTGTATTTTTTGTTGGTTTTTTACATTTAAATAACACATTCAAACAGGAATATCGAAATACTTATGTATAAATAAAAAGCTAATATAACCTAGGTTATATAACCTATTACATAATATATATATATAATTTAAATAATATACTTAATGTCATTACACCCACATAAATATACATAATATTATAATTTATAGGAATATTGGAAAAAAAATAATCTAATCTAAGTATAAACACCAATTCAAAATATTTATATATTTTATTTATGAATTATTATATGCAATTACACAAATGTAATCTGGTTAGTCACGTAGACGTCGGTTTCAATCAGTCCTTGAGTCTATTAACTCTGGTAACATTACTTCAAAAACATTTTTCTAATAATAATTTCATTTTGGTTTCAAAAAAATTATCATCTCTTAAAATTGTTTGGTATATTTAATATTATACCTGTAAACATAAACAAATTACATTAATTATTACCAAAATTAAATTGTATAATTTAAACATTATAAATTACCTTTGGGTGACCATATTATAAAATAACAAAACAATGAGTTATTTGTAATTGTCCCAGAACTTGAAAATAATACTTGTCATTTGGTTTTAATTGTAAATTGCATGGATTGTCTAGAGTTGCAAACTTTAATTTCCCAGTTTCTATTGCTTCTTTTGAAGTTAAATGTTTGATTGAAGAGGGACATTTTATTTCAACTATACCGTTAGTATCTATTGGTCCATCAAGGATGGCAGTTGTTCATGAATGAAAAGACTAGAATCTTGAATTTTAAGTCCTGATAATTATTCAAACTCTGTCTTCGCAAAGGGTTTGCACTCAATACCATATTTCATATGCTCATTACCACAAAATGTAGAATATAACATGGATTTTATTGTATTAGCTCTAGAAGTCGACGGTCAAACTAATGGTTTCAAAGTGTGATACGGTTAAAAGAATTTGTTGTTCTTTATGCCATAATTCACATTCCGATTGAAGTGTAGTTTTTCAATGAATTTAATTTCATCGCTATTTTTTATAATTGTATTTGTCATTAATTCCAATTTATGTTTTTCGTAATCATCTTCATTCATATCCAATTCTTCACAAATATTTTCTTCACAATTGCCATAGTTTTTATCTGCAGTTATGTTAACTTTAGTAACCCGCCTACCACTTGGTTCAAACGTAAGTTTTCTTTTCGCTTTACATACTTTTAACCTCTGTTTTCTATTTATAAAACGTTTAGTAAAATCACCTGGACTTACATTGCAAATTGTTTTGTGTAAAATACTAATAGATTTTGGACCTGCATTCTAAGTCAACAATGCAGCTGAACATCGCACTAGGTATGAACCTTTACGAGAAAAATGCATTCTCTTGCCTTATTGTTTACACTATAAATCAAGCTCGAGGAATGATGAGCTGATAAATTTCCTGCCGATAAAATATCAGTCCAAAGTCCAGATTGTTCCATGTCTGGAACATAGTTTTTATTTTTTTTTTCATTCTTATTTTTACAAAAATATGTAGCACAGTTTACTTGATTGCCAAAAACATGATATAGTCCAATCATAATATCACATTTTAATAAATTAACTTTTTCATTTTGTGTTCCATCGTTTTCTTTTCTATATTCTATTGCCTTAGTAACTGCACTACGGAGCTTTTCTAAATTGTTTCGCAAAATATTCCTTTGGTTTCCAGGCACAACTTTTCCACTGTTATATTTTTTTACTTTTGCTTGCAATATCACGCATTCGATTTATATAATTACGTAAAACATGGTTTCTGTATTCTATTTTTTGAATCATTATATCTGGACCGTAAGGTTTAGCAAGTTGTAATTGTGGTGCTATTCTCCTTGTCAGTCACACAGCCAAGTATAAATTCTTATATCAGCAATTAAAAATTTTTGGCTCTTTTGTGTTCCCGTAGGGTGGTTAGGTTAGTTATGGATAGTCTTAGATGGTTCTAATTGAGTTCATCGGTGACTGGAGTGTTTTTTGTGTAAAATTGTATATTTGTATTAAATTATATATTTGTATTCAATTTTATGATATATGATAATGTTTTATGGATTGATTCCAAAAAGTGAAACTTATGATTGTTATTAAAAACTTTATGTTTGTAGGTATTTGGGTGAAAAAAATTATCGCTTTCTGATGGATCTGGATACTTCGTATGAACCATCACCTGATAAATATACTATAACCGATAAAAGAATAGTTAAGAATGGTTTTAATGTTGTTATTGTTTTTAATGGTATGTTATGGTTTATTGTCAAAATGTAATACCTATCAAAAATGTAATTAAAATTCTTACAGACGATTCTGAAAATCCTGATATAAATATCACAGATGTAGCCCTTCATATATCATCATATGGTGCTGAGGAACTCAAACAACTTTTAGAATTAATGCAATTGGAAAAAGAAAATAATCTACATTGTTGCCGTCCATTGAAAGTGGTCAACTATCTCCGGGTATTTTGTTGTTTATTTTTTAAATAATACCATTGAAAAAATGAACTTATTTTGATTAATTTGTTAAATTAGAGTGAAACAGTGAGGCATTGCAAAACAACCGGACTCCCTAAAACAAAAGAAGAAATAAATAACCTATTGGAGTATTGGTTCAAAAATGAGAAGCTATTCTCGCATAATACTTGCGTTCATTACAAAAACGTTTTTTCACCGATACACAATATTAATGAGAAATCAAGAACATAAAAATATTTGTTATCATAATTCTTGGCGTAGTCTGAGTATAAAGTGTGTAGTAAATCTATTGCTTTTAAGTTCTAATACTAACACCAACAATTTTTTTTGTTGAAAATATTAAATAAATGTTTTAATTGAATAATTATTAAGTATATTGTATAGTGTTTTAAAAATAAATAAATAAACATGAAAAAATGTGCAATGAGAATTTAAATTATTTATTATTATCTGAGAAATTCTACATTTCCACGGTTCAGCATACATCATGTTTTTAGATTTACGTCGGTGTACATTTGTTGGTACAACAACTGTGTTTTAGGGGTCAATTATGTTTTTTCCAAATACTAAAAAAATAAAGTAACTGTCAACCAAGAGATTATGAGTATTGAGAAATGATGTTGTTGGTGAAAAAAAGAAATATTGAAAACAAATTTTAAAAAAAAATTGAAAAAAATAAAAACTAAATATCGAAAAATGAAAATTGGGAAAAAAAATTTAAAATAATAATAAATAAATAAAAATATCGAAAAAAAAAAATTGGAAAAAAATTAATAAAAAAAAAAAAATTATTTTAAATAGAAATTGAAAAAAAAATAAGAAAATTTATTTATTTTTTTCAAAATGTTGATTAATTTATCATTCAAAACATTATTAAATCATTTAAATTTAATTTTGAGGAATTAATTAACAACGATCAGACGTTTTAAGTTATTTACTGTAGGCATTATAAGTTATTATCGTATTGTCCGTTGTAACAAATCGATACTGAAAACTTGTAACTGAATACTGTGACACAAATACGAATTATATTTATTTCAAACACTTACGCTGCCCGCAGCAACAAGATTTGTAAAGTCCCTGGATTTGTTTTGAAATCCGTTGGGAAATCTTTCCATTACAAAATTCAAAAACAATTTAAAAATGGAAGGTTCAATAAATAATCTACGAAACTTTGCAGTATTGATATAATTTTTTTAATTTTTTCAACAATTTGAACAGATTATCTTGTAGATTAGGATTTTTTTTTAAATGTTTTGACATTTCCATTGCTTTCCTATTATTTTTTTAAAGTATTATTTAGTTATGAAGCCTATTATTGTTCCTTTAGATTTTTTAATTTGTTATACGTTTATTATGCTAAGACTTATTAGTTCTGCACACTAATAATCAAGGCTGGGCAAGTTAATGATTTTTTTTAACTCAGTTAAGTTAAATTAAAATCTAAATCAAGTTAATAGCTAAAAGTTAATTCAAAATGTTCTATCAATTAAACTAAGTTAAGAGTTAACCAAAATGTAATATTAACATTTTAACTCAAGTTAAGTTAAAAAAAGTTTTTTTGTTTTCATATAGGAAAAATTAAAATATTCGTACCCAAAATTGTTCATGTTATTACACCAAAGAACTATTATTATTTTATGTCTTCAAAAAGCTAACAGTATACTATACGGAAAATGTAGACTGATACCAGATTGTACAAACTCGAAAATGGTCGCGTTAGTTTAACCTAACCGCGTCTTTATATTTTAGTCGAAGTCGAAGTATAGGCGAGTACAATACTGAGTAGCGTATTTATTTTTATACTCATACAGTGATTACTGAATACTGAATACTTATTAGTAGTTATTACTAATACACGATAATTAGCGGTAGGCCTGTATGGGTTGTTAGATTATCAATATGACAAGAACACGAACCGCGATTAAAGATATTTTTCATTTTTTCATCGTGAGTCGTGACACGGACTAATTTTAATATTATAATAAAACCTGGAAATGACAGTATTAGTAGTTGTAACAGATATATAATAATATGTATCGATATCGAATATGGAAACACGAATTATTACTGATTTTTTCACACCTTTTTTACATCTTTTACTAATTTTTTCACACCTTTTTACTAATTTTTTCACACCTTTTACTAATTTTTGCACTAATTTTTACTAATTTTATCAAACCTTTTTACTTTCATTCTTCACACCTTTTTAATTTCTTTTTTCACACCTTTTTACTAATTTTTCACTAATTTTTACTAATTTTTACACCTTTTTACTAATTTTTTCACACCTTTTAACTTTCTTTTTTTCACAACTTTTACTAATTTTTTCACACCTTTTAATAATTTTTTCACACCTTTTTACTAATTTTTCACTAATTTTTACTAATTTTATCAAACCTTTTTACTTTCATTCTTCACACATTTTTACTTTCTTTGCACATCTTTTTGCCTTCTTTTTCACACCTTTTTTTCTTTCTTGATCTTTTTTGATCTTTCTTCTTATGGATTTACCACCACTAGTCACTAGGCGTCCATGCGGGAATTCTAGATTTCGGTGAAATCGACGAAAACGTCGAACTAATAATAAATTATACAAAAATAAACGGGGTATTACACTACTACCACATAACAGTCTAGTCCGTTTAGCGTTATTTTCTATATAGATATTAATTCTTAATAATAATAATGTAAAATAATATAATAATAATAATGTATAAAACAAATATAATATTACCAAAATAGTTCATAATTATTCATAGGAATATCTGTAGCTATAAGTTATAACCACCAACTGGCGACGATGGCAAAATAACAGGCATTGATAATATTCGTAATTTTACATGAATTAAAAAAATTGAAAACACATAACATAATAATTAAAATTAAAATTAACTTAACTTGTTTAAATGTAAAATTAACTCAAGTTAATCAAAAGTAAATTTAAATGCTCCTAAATTTATTAATTAAGTTAATAAACATAAAAAAAAATAACTTATTAAGTTAAAAAGTTAAATTAACTTAACTTTAACTTATTAACGCGTTAATGCCCAGCCTTGCTAATAATACTATAAATATTTTAATTCGAAATTATTGTTATAGATATAATATAGATAAAATTGTTTTGCCAAGGTACACATATGTATTTACTGCTTTATTTTACAGATGGTATTTTTTTATTATTATACAGCAGCACGCCATCACTGACCTCTTCGCCTTGCTTTAAATGTTAAAAATTAAAAACATATCTGCAGCATTATAAAATAATAATGTATAATTTATAATTTAAGAATTAAGCATTATAATTTGCTACTTCCAAAATGAGTTGCTCGGAGCTATTGCACCTTTTACCACTTAAACGATCCACCACTAATACCTATAAGAAATCTAACAACATCAATTTGCAGTGTCGTGTAACTATCATACACATTCCATTCTTTATAGTTACGGAAATAAAATAAAAAAGTCTATAACTTTGAAAGTATTATTATCTCAACACAAACTGGCGCAGTGCGGCTTTCGGGCCATCGACCAATGAATTAATCTTTTAAGTTACAGAGACATATAATAACAAAATATTGTAACACTGTATCGCTTGGGAGAAAAAAAAGACGCTTAAACGAAATAAGAAAACATTGTCAGATTGCTCGTCGCCGTCGGCGCGCAAGTCTTTTTTTCCGGACGAACCGCGGTCGGTGAGTAAAAAACCGCGTACGGACGTCGATGGGACGAACCTCTGTACATACCACAATACCACATACAACCTGTACACACGCAAACAAACTTATAATATATTTTTATTATTATTATTATTACCGACGGCGCAGGCGAACCGGTACCTCTGGTACGACTGCCGCCGCCAGAGTTGGGTAGGTACAGAACGCGACTCGTTCGGTCTTCCCGGTCGAATAACATAATATACCTCTCTCTCCCTCTCTCTCTCTCTCTCTCTCCTCTCTCTCTCTCTCTCTCTCTCTCTCTCTCTCTCTCTCTCCCTCTCTCTCTCTCTCTCTCTCCTCTCTCTCTCTCTCTCTCTCTCTCTCTCTCTCTCTCCAACTATATCCACGGAGACCGTGTACAACGCGGTATATTATTAATATTACCTGCAGCACTACCTGTGGAACGGTACGCGCGGCTCGTCGGCGGCGTCGGTGGGGGACCGCCGCTCGGTAAACTCGCACGACAGGTCGCCGGCGACCGACGACTACCGCTCCGCCGTCAGTCTACGGGGCACACCGTCCGCAATCGCGTCTCGTTTTGCGCAGCCGTGTTCTGTTATTTTGTAGTTTCGTCGAGTTTTCGTGTCGCGTTTCACGTGTGCCGAACACACCACGTCGGTAGGTCAAATACCGATATCTTCTCAGTTTTAACCGCATATATTATCTTCCGTCCTACACCGACCGCATTTCGGATAGGTATACCCGCGGGATCCATCTGTGCGCTTGTGACCCGTGATGTGAGTGATCCGTCGTCTAATCGCGTTACAGGGCATGTGAAATATTTGTAAACCCCGGCGGGCGCACACACGAATATAACACAGAAACGAAACAGTGAATACGACGCACCTTACCGCCGGTCTCGCAAAGAGAAGTAGGTAGCCGATCGTCGAACGGTAGTGGGCGCGAGGTCCGTCGGCCGCCGCCATGAGCATGATGATGATGATGAGACCGTCCGACTCGACGCCCATCTGTCGGTGCCGGGTACTGTACCTGGGATCGGCTGTGCCGCACATCACTAAGGATGGGCTGCAGGGCATTCAGGAGCCGCTCAAGGAGCTATACCCGGAACAGGGGGCCCTGGGGGCCCGCGGTATCGACTCTTGGCTGAGCGTTTGGAGCAATGGCCTCTTACTAGAGAATGTAGACGAGAACCACAAGAAGATCACTCGGTTCTTCCCTATCGAGTCGCTGCACTACTGCGCCGCAGTCCGGTTCGTCCTGGTGCCCGAAAAGTCTAACGGGTCCTCGCAGCCGCGATTCCTGCCGCTGGATTCTCCGTTCGCCCGGTCTCCAAACCCGAACCATCCACCATTGTTCGCAGCCATACTGCGCCGGACTTCCGGCATCAAGGTACTCGAGTGTCACACGTTCATATGCAAGCGTGAGATGGCCGCTAACGCGTTGGTTCGATGCTGTTTCCACGCTTACGCCGATTCGTCGTACGCCAAACAATCGGACGGCGGTGGCACGAACGGCACTGCCAACGGTGCCGGTGGCAACAGTATATACGGCACGGTACGGACCAACAGGTCGGTGGGCAACAACACTATCGAGAAGGTGGAGGGCTGGCGGCGCATGACCAACGGCGGCGGGGCAGCCGGAAGCACGCTAACCCTCAACAGCGCCCACTCGAACGGCATCACCATGCTGGAAGCGTCCACGAATTCCATCGACGACCTGTCCGAGTGCAACGGTGACGAGAATCACAAAGTGTGGGTGGGCAGCACCAAAGACATATCGGAAAAAGAAGATTTGTACGGAGCCGGAAACACGATGCGCAGCTCGCGATCCAGCAGGCCCAGGCAACTGGTCGGGGGCGCACCACCACCGCCGCCACCGCCACCGGTCAGGGACGACAGCAATAAGTCAGCGACGAAGAAGGCTAAGGAAAGGCCGCGTCGTAAGAGAACGCCGACCGGTGGAAGTCGTGAAGACTTGTACGCGCCATCAATGAACGGTTCGCTGATGAGATCTGTGCACGGCGGCCGCAGTTCGGTGTCGCTCAACGGCACCATGGCAAGCCGGGGACCACCTAGAGGGTTCATGCAGTATCAGCAGCATCCACCACCTCCACCGCCGCCCAACCACATATACTCCAACGGTGGGGGCGGCACCATGCTTAGGCCCGTCAACGGCTATCACCCACATCACCCGCATCCACCGCACCACCCACATCAACACCATCCAGGAATGATGCAGCCTCCACCTCCACCGCCCATTATGATGGTGCCCACCACATTGCCGCACCCCAAGAAAATGCACAAGATGAAACCAGGCATGATGCCTGTACCCAGACCGGGCATGATCCCAGCAAACTACATGCCGGTGCCCATGTACATGCACACCGGTAAAAAGTCCAAGAATGGAATGCCTGTCCCTGTGCCGATGGCCATGGAAGAACCGATATACATGCCGTCCGCTCGGCCCCTGAGTCCGGTCGCGTCCTATCAACCAGAGCACTTCCCACACGAGGCGTACTTGATGCAGCAGTACGCCAACAGCGTCAATCACATGAACAACAACATTAACAATAACGGGCCGGCGCCCAAGAACAAGAAAGGCAAAAAGGACAAGAAATCCAAGGACTCGGTCAACGGGATGATGCCACCGCTGATGGTGCCGCAGTTGATGGTCAACGGCGGCGCAGGTGGAGGCGGTATGATGATGATACAACAGCATCAACAGCATCAACCGCCGCCACCGCCCTCTGGTCCACCTCAGATGGCCGTCAACGGGCACAGGGTCAACGGCAACGGAATGATGTCGCCGGGACACGACGACATCATGACGGACGACACGGAGGACTCGGTGTACAGCACCGGAATTTACCGGCGGAAGGGTCACCTCAATGAGCGTGCGTTCTCGTACTCGATCCGTCAGGAGCACCGATCCCGGTCGTATGGATCGCTGGCCAACCTTAAGTTCGCTGCTCCGCCAATCGTGCCAAACGGCGTGGACGGGGTGCCGAACAAGGTGGACATCAAAAAGGAACGAGAGATCATGCAGATGATGCAGGACCTTGAGCTGTCGGGCGACGAGCTGGACCGCGCTGACCAGGTGGTGCACCACCAAAAGCAGAGTAACAACGTGCAGGCGCACCATCAGAGGCCCGTCAAGACGAAGCGATAACGACCACCATGATATTATTGACGTCACAGCGGACCGGAACTACGACCGCCTGCAGGTAAACAACGATTCACAGTTATACTGCACATAATTTTATATATTATTTTATTTTATAATTTATATTAATATTTAATCGTTTTACTATCATACACTTCGCCGTCGGTATAGATTAGATTTTGTATTATTGTGTGAACCGTCTCTCTTACATTATTGTAATATATTATATTATTATATTATTAATTATAACCCTCTCAACTGCCGCCGCCGCAAACGAGAATATTCGCTTGGTAATAATATAATATAATTATTGTGTACCATCCCGTCGAGCCCCTCCCCATGGTACTATAATATAGCCTTAACGATCGCGTATTGTCCTTTTCCGATATTATACCTTCATTTTTCCTCTGGAGCGAAAACCTGACTCAATACGGCTTGATGTGCACGCGCGTGTGTCGATATAATATCATCATAATCATATTATTATAATATTATATTGTTGTTCTCGAATGTATATTATGTAGCCCCGAGTCACGACACTATATTATAGTTTCGGTAATAATAAATTAATGTTGATTTCGAAATGCGAATATTCGACAGTATTAGGTACATACGCACACATCATGCAAGCGAAATGTATTATAGGTGAGCGTATATGGAAATCGCTACTTTAGGTTAATATTGCAGAAACGCGTGTAATAATCGTTCAACTCTGAAACACAACAACAAACTTAATTAGGTACTACTGGATATTATAATAATATGCCATACTATATGTATAGTGCTCAAAACTACACAGTAACTTACTGTCGTGACTTTTCTCGTTTTACTTACCTAGTTTATTGACAATAATAATAATTGTACGCTAAATTAAACGGCAGTTTGGACGATTTAGTAATATTTTATTTCACGAATCAGGTTGACAATATTTATCGTTCGGTATTAAATCTTCAAATATTTATTTTCTTTAACACGTCTATAAAATATTAGTGGTAGTTTTTCAAGTCCTTCGATTAATGTAGTATTTACTACCTCGATTGTTTTATTTGATAAAAAAATTGTATGTTTATAGGCTGTACACATTTTAAGTAAAATAAAATTTCAACGAGTATGGTAACGGTAATCAAATGTTATTATTTATTAACAACACTCGTTGTAATCGGTAGTTAATATTCATTAGATTTTAAGTTATAACTAATAAAGATTAAATACTATAAATAGTAGTAAATGGTCAGTCGTATTCTGTACAGTAGGTAAAACGATGATATTTAAATATTTAAAAAAAAAATTACGAAACAAAAATAATATGTTATTAATAGTTTATAATTAAAACTTAATATATTCGAAAAGCTTATAGAGAGCGTAAAAATAATTTGTGTTTACATAATAATACATATTTTTATGTAACTCGTTCGTAAGATAAACATGAACGAAAACGCACTTAAAAAAATCTTGGTAATTAGCTAATTAGTTTTGGTAACAGTGCACAGATGAATTAATTTGTGTCTGCGTGACTGTAAGATATGGTATAAGGTAAATATAGTAAAAATAATGTTAACATAAATAACATTTGAGGGCTCTAGTAAAAAGTAAAAACGCAATAATTACAATCATTTAGACTTTATTCGTACATTTTACGTACAATTATTGTGTATACAGTATTACATCTTAGCCGCTTACTTGTACTTGATACATCAGTTATTACGGTTACTGGTTGTGTTATGTAACTATATATAATATAGAATGTGTATATCCTACATTCCTACGGACAAAACGACAAGTTATAAATTATTAAGGGTTATCGTCAATATCGACCGCAACTTACTGCAGTGGGTCAACGAAATAAATGTCGTTTATAAATGGTACACGGTGTTGCAACTTTATGAATGAGAACCTATTACGTCGGTACTATTATTGTGAATCAATTTACTGCGATTTCGCCGACTGTGGACACTGTAGTCCATGTATAATTATGCGCTAAATAGGCTCGTTCGTATTTTGCGTCGTTATCACAATACATAATTATCTTAATAATAAAATAAAATGCGCCTTGCCCGTTCCGCGTGAAAAGAAATTTAAAAAATACAAATAATTAAAAAAAAACGTAAACACACATTTTTGAGCCTTCGCAACGACAATAATAATACGACGGTCGTATCATAAGCGAACACCTCTATTACCGCGGTTGCTGCGTAGGTATATACATAATGGTATACTGCTGTAAGTGGCGCGTTTTGAAAGTGCGCGGCTGCAGGAGCATATTGCGCGTTCGAATAAATACATTAGGCGTAAAGGTATAATATTATATTATGTATAGACAGTTACGTAACATTCGGTAGTTAAAGTCTCCCACCGTCGCGTCGCGTTAAGTAATTATGCTGTAAATATGACGGCCGGCCATAACGTAGTTTGGCCTTACAATGTGTAAATATTTTAAATGCCGTGTCGCTCGGTGGGGGCGTAAACGCGTAATTCTGTGCCCACGACAGACGCAAACGGTGGTCGTCATCCATATCATATTATTATTATTACTATTATCATTGTGTAGGTATACGTACGCAGTAGTAAGTGTACGTATAATATACTCAATGCGGTGGATATCGTAGGCATATACCCACCCAGGGTAATACCTGCCCACGCGTGTACAGTGTACATGTAGCTCGCGTATATGTATAGGTATTATAATATCGTTTTGTGGTTTTTATAATATTATCATATTATTATACCATTCGTGTAAGTATGGTTTTGAAAGGCCACCGCGTGTGAACCGATAGCATGCCGCAAAACCACAAACCGCTCGTATCTGTAATAAAACAACGCGACGGACGCTATTACGCGTCTCCGTTGTGCAGGCACAATTTAATAGTATAATATTATCCACATAGAAACGATAAATAAATAAACATTTTGTAAGCTAGTGGCTTCTTTTCGACTGTTTTTCCAATAATATGCGTACGACTGGCACAAGCGATATTGTTTAGAAGCCTGCTCTTAAAATATATTATACAGAGAGCGCCGAGTGTGTGTGCATATATGTATAATAATAAATTCGACGGTGTCATGGGTTTTAAAGCGGTCGCTCCGGAATGTGCACCAGCATTCCTACAGCAGACGGCGGTCGTAGAGGCGTGGCAGTTGGATAGGCGGATCTGGTGGGATACCTATATAACATATAATGGTATAATAACACGACGACGACGTCGGCGGCGGTGGCGTAAGGTAATGAGATAGGTCTTGGTACAAATCCAATATTTTTCCTACGGTCAACAGTCCTGAACCGTTTATTGTCCGAAACTATTCCTGCAGTCGAACCTTGACCGGATGAGAGTTTTGTGCTGCAGTTGTATTATTATTATCCCCTCGGATCCAAACCACATATCGTTCACGCGTGCACGGATTGTTTACCTAAATATTATACTTAACTCATTATTGTTTAGGCGAGTATAGATACATATCCGATTATCCGAAGAAAGTATCGGCGAGTAGGCTATATTACACGCTGCTGCTGCAGTGACACTGATTCTGTGGACAGGTTTTATACCTCGGTGTACCTATCTCGCGATTGCTGCCGCTGTATAGAAATGTTTAGAGAATTTAGTACATTAAATCGTGTATACGATATAATACACAGATCCACTAGGATTTCTAAACAGTTATTAAAATTCCATTATCAAATGAAAGTATTGCAATCACCACGCGCTGTATAAGGCATACGAGTTTATTTTAATATCGACGGTATTACTGCTCGTCGGCTTTGTTTTTACCCGGAAGACGTATGCGGAAAAGTTTACTATATATATGCTCGAACTTCAGTCGAATGATGGAGCATTGTGCTGTAAAATTTAAATCACAATCAAACGGACCATAAAATTGTTTGACGTCCACCACCACCGCCTTCAAATAAAAGCGACGCGGTTGTCGGCCAAACAAAACGCATTATAATCGCCAGTAGAAACCGAACAGTAATTATAAGACAAAACGATGAGTGTAGGTACCTACCTATATAATGTGTGTATACATAGAAATGTGTGTTACAGTAAAAATGATAATAATCGTGGCCGCTGTACAGTGCAGTCAAACGTGAATATTGATGACCGTCGAACGAGTAAAATATAAAACCACAGGTGACCCCAAAACCGGCAACCTGTCGAGTGTATATATAGGAGCCCCCGCGGGGGCTAAGTTCCGACTTTCCTCTGCAATGCCCTCTTGTGCCACTTTCTTGGTGTAGCCGCCACCGTCCTTCCCATTCCTCGTCGGCAGTATATATTATATATACATAGGTACGCGTTCGATAGATAAATTAATATTCTAAACTCTTCACAACGCGTCTAATGCACGAATCGACCGGAGTTAAGCATCCACGTAAAATTAATCAATGACCGTTTATAACACGTTCACATTAACATCCGTTACAATTGTGTCAGTGGACCTATTATTCGACGGCGTACGATTTTTGGTCGCACTCGAACGATTTATCTGTCTAGTGCAGCACGGACTATACACACGTCGCGCAATGGTGCAATTATTGAAATTCGTTCGGTAGTGCGGTGGGGTGAGAGGATGTTTAGTTTTTATCGTTTAAATCAACGATACCAGTTGCTCCCCCGCGCTACCCGGCACCCGCCATTTGCAGTAGGTTTTACATTTAAGTAGAATTTGACGATTTCTTCGTATGACAAGTCACAAACAATTAATTCTTTATTTCACAGGGATAATGCAAAACATACTTTTTCATCTGCAATGAGCTATAATATGTATTATATGCCTATGTTCAATATTCCTGCGCATTGAAATTCCGTCCAAGACGTAGATAGAACAATAAATTAAATACTCAGGGAACTTGAAAAAAAAATGATTTATACGTCTTATTAAAAGATTTAGCCCCCTCCACACACACACTGGCATACGCCATAATTATACAGAACATTTGCGTCACGCGTATATACATATATACGATCTATCGATTAAATAGTAAACACCATATTTTGTGTGAAAGTGCATAGACATTTTGCCATGGTTTTTTCCCACTACATCTTGAAATGGGTCGTGTTCGCCGAG